TCCATAGTTTAGCTATTGTGAATTGTGCTGTTATAAACATTGATGTGGCTGTGTCACTGTAGTATGCTGATTTAAGTCCTTTGGGTATAGACCGAGGAGAGGGATAGCTGGGTCAAATGGTGGTTCCATTCCCCGTTTTCCAAGAAGTTCTGCTTGATTATGTGGCACCTAGCACCAGTGACTCCATTCTAATTTGGTCTGGTCTGGTCTGTTGGAACCTAGTGCTGGAGCTCAGTCTGAACCAATGGCTTTCCATAAACTTTATTTAACTTCACAATTAAAAAATATTCCTGCCCACTGGGCATAGTGGCACATGCCTGTAATCCCAGCAGCTGGGAAGACCCTGAGGCAGGAGGATTACGAGTTCAAAGCCAGCCTCAGCAACTTAGTGAGGCTCTAAGCAACTCAGTGAGACCCTGTCTCTAAATAAAATATAAAAAAGGGCTAGTAATGTGGCTTTGTGGTTAAGTGCCCCTGGGTTTGATCCCCAGTAACACATACACACACACACACACACACAAACATTATTGCCCAGAGAGCTAATAGTTCTAGTTCGTGGAGGAAGACAATGAGCAATAAACAGATTAAATATATAAATTATGAACTGTTAGAAGAAGATGAATGATATAGGGGGAAAAAACCAGTGCAGGTTAAAGAAGATTGTGAATGCAAGGAACAGGAGGAAGAGGTTATTTCTATGGTCTCCTTCAGTTAACGTTAAAATAAATCATCAGTTAAGCAGTTGGCCGTGAAACTGTGATACCTTACGTGGCATACATGTTTTGCCCAGAACTCCCTGGATTTTTGGAGCCTTGAGTGGGAATTTAAAGTCTTTCAGAAATTACTTCCATTTATCCAGAGCTCTAGAGGCGGGGAGAAGGAGTGCTACCTGGCAGCATCTAGAGGTGCTTATTTTCCAGGTGCGAGGGAGAGCGCCAGAAGGAGCCTGCCCATTAGGGAATATGAGCGGAAGACAGAGAGATTGAAACAGGAGAAACAGCTGGGGCTGAGTGGGGAGCTCGGAGGTAAGGCAGAAGGCTCTAACACCTAGGCTAGATGGTGAAAAATGCTGTAGTGGGATCTTGAGTGTCCCCTAAAAGCCTGTGGGTTAAAGGCTTCATCCCCAGGGTAGTGCTATGGGGAGGAAGTGGGAACTCTAAGACTGGTGAGGGGTCTTTAGGTCATTGGGACTTGAAGGGGATGGTTGGACCACAGCTCCCTCTTCTTTTTCCTCTCTTTCGCTCCATGGCTGTGAGGTTGAGTGGTTTTGTTCTGCCATGTTCTCCCATCATGATTTTACTTCCTCACCAGAGGCCCCCAGACAATAGGGCCAATTGATCATGGATTAGAGACATCCAAACGGTGAGCCAAATAAGCCTTTCCTCTTTATAAGTGGATTATCTCAGGTATTTTGTCATTGTGACAGGAAGCTAACGCACCACGTAAGCACAGGGTTTTAATTTTTATTGTTAATTATTTATTTAACTTTGTATTGACTCCTTTAGTCGGTGTTGGGAGGCCAGCTTTGCAGATGCCTGTGGATTAGTTCTGTGGGTTGGGGTAGAGGAGTGGTTTCCCTTAGGGAATAAACGTTATCTAGATGAAAAGTCAAAATATACGCACTGTGTGACTATTTAAATAACAAGGTGTTGTAGTTTATTTATATCCAGATGAGTGATTGCTACAGTTTAGATCTTGTTGAAGGCTTAGTCCCCAGGCTGTGGTGCTGTTTGGAGGTGTGGCATGTGGAATATCAAGTTTACTTATTGTGACTGTCATTCTTGTCTGTAGCATCTATTGTCTCCATCACTGAGTTAGCTTTCTGTCACTGTGACAAAATACCTGAGATAAACAAATTAAAAAGAAGAATTTTTACATTAAATAATTAACAATAAAAATCAAAACCCTATGCTTAGTAGCGCGTTAGCTTCCTGTCACTATGACAAAATACCTGAGATAATCAACTTGTAAAGAGGAAAGGCTTATTTTGACTCATAGTTTTGGTGTCTCTAATACATAGAGGGAAGGTAGGTCACTGGGGGCATGCCCTTAAAGGGCATATTGGGTCCTTAGCTCCTTCCTGTTTCTCTTTCTTTCCTTCCTGGCCACCGTTATGTGAATAGTGCTTCTCCACCACCCACTCTCACTACGATGTACTGCCTCATCATGGACCCTGAGCAATAGAGCCAATTGACTATGGACTGAAACCTCTGAAGCTGTGAGCCAAAATAAACATTTCTTCTTTTAAATTTGTTTATCTCAGGTATTCTGTCACAGCGACAGAATGCTAACTCAATGATGGAGACAATAGATGCTACAGACAAGGATGAGTCACAGTAAGTAACACTTGATATTGCACAGGCATCAGACTAGATTACCATCAATCCTGGTGCCATCAGAACACACTTACGGAGTGAACAGGAATATCAGTCTAAGTTTTTTTTTTTTGTATTTATTTTTTAGTTTTAGGTGGACACAATATCTTTATTCTTTATTTTTATGGGGTGTTGAGGATCGAACCCAGCACCCCGCGCATGCCAGGGGAGTGCGCTACCACTAGAGCCACATCCCCAGCCTCTCAGTCTAAGTTTTGAGAAGCAAAATTCCCTGAGGACTGGGGCCATTCTGAGATAGTTCAGGGAGGAGACAGGACTCAAACTGAGAATGAAAAGATGTGGGGAGGGAGAGAGGAACAGGAGTAATTAAATCTGTTTCGTGATGTAAGTGAGATTCCTGGAAGATTACTCTGACAGCTGTGTGTGGGATGGAGTAGAGTGGGAGAAAGGAAGGAAGAAAATTAGTGAGGAAACTACCTGTTCTAGGAACTGAGGTGTGAGGTGAGGAGAGCGGTGGACTACGCACTGGACAGAAAGACTGACCCACGAGAGAGGGAGCTGAGGGTTGAGGAGTAACCACAGCCTACCACCAAGTTCCAAGGCATTTCTTACAGTGGATTGTTCAGATGTGACTGTGAAGGGTAATAAAAGCATAATAAGGTGTGAACTTAAGCTTCTGACACCCCTCCCTCTCCCTACCCTGAAATTCCTCTTTTATGATCCAACGAGAGAGTTGGAAAATAATGTTGTGAAGATGACTTGCAGAATAGGGCTGGATCCCCAACAGGAGCAGCCTTGGGAGTGGGACTTGCTCCAGGGTCTACCGTATTCCAGATCACAGAGGTGGGCAGATCAACCTCAGCTTCTGCCTTGGGTTTGGGAGAATGTTATAAATTTTTTGAAGCCCTCAAACTCTAGAAATTCTATTCCTGGCAAGTTCCACCTGAGGGGGTTAGGTCATAGGAAGTTTCCTAACTGCTATTTCAGCAAAGCCCAAGCTTCCCTTTTTGCTAAAACTGAACTTGAACACTTGTTCTTTGGCTCGCCACCCAGTTGAGCTCCATGTAACACTCAGGAGGCTCTCAGAGTTGTAGGGCTTCCCTTCTGCAGTTTTGAGGGCTAAGGCTCTCTGGGCAGATGACAATGTTTATATAGATCTCTTCCAAAAGAGGAAGATATGTGACTGAATGCATTTCAACTTCCACAAGAAGTACGTGAAGAGAATGAGAATGAAGGGTAAAGGGGATAATCGGTGGTGGAGTGGCAGCCAGTTGGTGTAGTTTATTCCACAAATAACAGTGAGATAATTGAGTATCCCTTTTTCTTTTTTTTTTTTTTTTCCAATGTTGGGAATCAAACCCAGGGCCCTGTACATGCTAGGCAAGTGCTCTACCACTGAGGTATACCCTGGCCCTTGAGTATTCATTTGTAAACACATACAAATACCACACCTTTACAACCTAACTTGCTGCATCAAATGCATCAGAGATTTAAACATGATACAGTTGAAACTATGTCAGTACTAATTTACCATAGGAAGGTATTTATAAATCTGGCACAAAGCTCTGAATCTGTTAAAGAGAAGATTAGTGAAATGAACAAAATAAAAACATGGTTTTGACATTAACAATGTCATAACCAAAGTCAAAAGACAAACAAACTGAAAGAAAAATTCGCAACATATGACTCAAACCACTGCTGTTTTGATGTTTTCTTGCATCATATTTTGAGACATCTGTGTGTTTGAAGATTGAGCTTTTAATTTTGAGACAATTAGAGTTTCACATGCAGTTGTAGAAAACAATATAGAGGTCTCCTGTAAGCCTTACCCAGTTCCCCATGAGAGTAACATCTTGTAAGACTATAGTATGATGTCATAACCATGACATTGACATTGACAAAAATCACTGATCTTGTTTAGATTTTCCAGTTTTATTTGTGCATGTATTTACTTCTGTATAATATGACTACATGTGCGGGTTCATGTATGCACCTCCTAGTGAAGATACACAGCAGTTTGTTTACCGCAAGGGTCTTCCATAAACATATCCAACTGCCTCCATTCCATCTCCCCACCTGTAATTCCTGACAATCAATCACTAAAACTGCTCTACATTTCTATAATTTTGTCATTTCCAGAATGTTAAATGTGTGGAATCATATAGGATGAGACCTTTTGAGATTGCCTTTTCTGAAGATTCATTTCACCTGTGTATATCAATTTTTTTTATGTTCCAGTGATTTATTTATGAGGTTATATATGAAGCACGATTTTAATAGCAAAAAATTGGGAATGAACTAAATGTTCTTTGGTAGGGGACTTGTAAGTAATTATGGCACATCACTCAAGAAAATACTTGAAAATTATGTGGCCATTACACATATTTAGGTGGATCTTTCTGAAATGAATGGAATAGTTTCCAAGATATTTGATTATGTAAAATATGTAAGGCAAGAGTAATGTAGATAGCATGATGTAGTTTTAAATAAATGCTCCATTTATTTAAATACTGGTACATACATATGTATATATTTGTTAAAGAAGGTTATAAATGTTAGAAAGTCACCTCCCATGGTGACTTAATCATTTGTGTGTCACTGATAAGGGGAGGAAGAACATTACGGGCATAATTGTCCTCCCTAGGCAACATGGGGGATGTTTGGTTGCTTTTTTTGTTGTTGTAACTGGTAAGGAGGGTACTACTGGCATCTAGTGTGTACGTCCAGGGATGCTTCTATTTAACATCCTACAGGTCACAGGATAGACCCCACAACAAAGAATTTCCAGCCCTAAAAGTCAATAGGGCTGAAGTTGAGAAATTCTGGATTAGAAGGTCTTGATTAAAAGGTTTCAACTGGGCTTCTCAGAAGAAGTGAAATGTTGGAGTGTATTTTGCTTCATTGTGTCAACTTTATTCTCTTTGGTAGCTTGTGAGCTACAATCTTCACAGATGCCAGTTGTCGGGAAAAGACTGATCAAACAGGAAATTATCATCTGTTTCCTTTGACCAAATCTGTCATTTTGCTGGTTAGAAAATATTGGCTGTCTTTTAGAAAAAGCCTCATCTGTATTGGAATATATGTTTTGATTATAACAAATTATGTTCTTCAACAAATGGAAAACGTATCCTAAATGACAACAGATGTGGTTCTGAGCTTGCTTTAGATGGTGGCATGGACTCCTATAGGACCAGCAGCCCTGCATACTTTCCATTCAGAGCCATCAGACAAAATGCTTGCAAATGAGAAAGTAATGACCATTGCTGTACTTGTTAGGATAAACCAGAAAAACAGGCTTTGGCTTATTGGATCTATTATTGAACCCTAATTAGCAGTGGTGTTTGGGCATTCTAAGGCCTATGGTAAGATAAATAATATTTATGGTTTCTTCAATGTATCAAATCATTGTTTATGAAATGCAGTGTCGTCTGAAATGCTCTCCTCTCTCACAGTGTAGACCACAGAGTGACCGGGCGCTTATTCTGGGGTTGTGATCGAAGCACTGGAGCCCGGCAGGGGTAATCTTCACGTAGTTGCGCTCACCACAGATGTCAGAGCGCTTAGCAACGTCTGGACCCAAGCAGACTCCTTGCCGGGTTCTAACCAATGCCCTTAATATGGCCATGTGAGCTTGGTGTGGAATTGAGGAAGGATAGCATTAAATACACTGAGTAATCTGAAAATGAAGGGTGGGGGAATGAAAAGCAGGTTCACTTGAGTTCAAGGAAAATTTCTGAGGATGTCAGCATTTTCCATTTTTTGGGGGGAAAAACGAAATCTTAAAACTTTTCCCTAAGAGAACTTGCTAAAATTTTGTCAGTAAGGAAGCGAACTGAAATGGTGCAGAGGGAAACAATTTAAACCATCACCAAAATAGTAAAGTCCCAAAGATAAAAACTAAATTATCAGAGATATGCCAACAAAGACAAATTGAAACGGACTCCGTTTCTTTATCTGTACAATAGGGAGAAATCACCCCTTATGCTAAACTCTTGGGAGCCAGTTGAGTTTTGGAATTCAGAAGGCTTAATATTTTAGAATGATGAGAAAATGAATATTTAATTGATTATGTAGAACTCTAAGAAGGGTTTGAAGGCAATATTCCCCAGTGAGACACATTAATAATTCTATACTGAGACGTGCACCAAATGGATAAAAGATAATAAGTAGCCTCCTGTTAGATTGTCAGGTTTTTCTGTCAATGAATTTTTTTCCAGACTTAAGAAGAAAACTTTCATTTTTAAGAGCTTTGGATTTCTAAATTGCAAATGAGGAGTTATTTATTCATATCTATCTCAAAAATGCACACTTAGAATAAAATGCTGTATCAGAGACATTGTGCACAGTATTGGCATGTAGTTCCTATGCAATAAAATAGGTACTAAATTAGATTTCTTTTAAGGTAAAAATAACCAGATATCTAATATTATCATCAGTATGGGAATTCCTTGGGCTGGTGTATTTTTTAGCCCCTTTCCCTTTTTCCTTCTTTTTCTCTTTCTGTCACTCAGGGCTTTGACTTAAAATCTGTGCACATAAAAAGTGATGGGAGTGGTCATCTTTAACCTGGTTTGGTGGCTGAGCGAGCTCTTTAAGCTTTATTTACTTGGGTATGGACAGAAGGCCTTTTCTCAAAAAAAGATTAAAACCCCAAACAGAAACAAAAATAGTAAAATGAACAGCCAGCATCTTACTTGTCTTAGATTTCTATGCCTTTCTTTCCCAGGAAGTCCTGAGGGTTCTAACCACGATGATTCTGATGACCAGGAATTCCAAGCTGCAGTCTGGGTTGAGTCAGAGGGATTTCAGTTGGATCAGCACAGAGTACAGGCCAAAGTCATGGTGAATTGGCATGAAAACAAACAAAACAAAACATAGACACACAGAATACCAAGAGGCCAGCGACCAACCTCCTCAGAATTGTACCCCAGGGGACTTGCTGCTCATCTCCACTTCTTGGGCCCCTTTGCTCTGATTCTTTTCTGACTGTAGATGGCTGG